GGTGATTGGAAATATTAAACAGGCGATATGATACATCATACAAACATACAACCATGTCAGAGTTACAATAATGGCATGGTGAACACGTTTACATAAAAGAGATGATACCTTTGGTCTTCCTATTCTACCTTAGCCTCGATGATTCCAAGTGAGAAATTGCCTTGTGACGCAATTGTGTGCTTTCCTCAATATATGTCCTGTCCACTTCCAGCACTTCTTCCTGATTCTTTCCTCCACTGGAATCTGGTTTGTTCTCTCCCACAGTAGGTTGTTGTTGATAGTGTATGGCCAACAGAAAAGAATTACTTTACGTAGACAACACTTCTTCTGTATGATTGCTTTCGTAGTTCTCCAAGTTTCCGCCCCAAATAGTAGAACTCTCTTGACATTTGTATTAAAAATTCTAACCTTGATGTTGGTTGACAGTTACTTTAAGTTCCAGATGTTCTTCAATCATAGACATTCTGCTCTTGCTTTGTCGATCCGTGCCTTCACATCTGCGTCAGATCCACTGTGTTTAGCAATGATACTGCCCACATATGTGAAGGTTTTCACATCTTTCAAAGCTTCTTCGTCAACTGTGATTCGATTGGTGTATGTTGTGTTGCATCGGAGAATCTTGCTTCTCCCTTTGTGTTTGCTGAGACCTACTGCTGCTGACGTTGCTACCACACTAGTCATTTTCGCAGCTATACATTTGCTAATATACACAATGTTTGTAGAGACAATCAATATGTATGTATAAGGCTACCAATCATTAATACTGAAATGGATGAAATGATAGATAATGAAGTGACAGACACTAGTTTCAAGTGTCAGTTAGAACATCAACATTGGAATGTAGGTACATTTATCTCACAATGTCAATGTAAGAAGAAATATGCACTTTGTGTTTCAACACATTCCAATATCTAAAGATAATTAGTATAGTTTTGAAAGCATATTCATTCTGCATTTACCATCAGAATTTCTATTACTAAACTGTTCAATATTAAGAAGGTAAAATAACCAGACTCCACAGAATAATGTGAACATCAGGTATTTCTTCAGCTTAAATTGATTGGTCACAGAGTAATGAATGACCTGTGTGATATCTGTCTAGTTCTTTTGTGTTAATTGAATACGACAGATCAATATGTATTGTGACTACAAGTCTGAATGACTTGAAATCTCATGCACCATTTTGAAATACGTGGCTGTAGTTAGTATGTTGTATGTAATCAACAGGAAATCCTGAGTAACATTGATCAACAAGGTAACCCTGTATTTTACAGAGAACTGATTTATCCTATGAGATTTGAGTCCCCATTATCTAATTTCACTTAATGCGGTGTTACCATTGAACATCAACACATCAACAAGTGCTGTCCAGTTACTTAGAATAGTCTTCATACTGTTATTTGATCGATAAATCTCGGTCAACACTAAGGATAAGACAAACATGACGTTGATCATCATTCAGTGATCAATAGATTGTATGTGTCTCACTTTAACACGCAATCACTCGTCACCCAATAGCTCATTGATGATGTCTACATGGTGTTTACATATCTACGTCTTTTTGATCGAAGTGTTTAAGGTCACTTAAGTCCTCATCACTGTCTTCTCGCGCAACGGTTGTAGTTTACGAAATTGAGAGGACGAAAAGCGTAGTCCCTGTGATTTAACCGGGTTGTTGGATATGGAGGATCCACCTAGCGGAGTTCGAAAACCCGCATTCTAGACCAACGGTGTACATGGACTCCATTATCCTGAAGGAACAAATGGCATATGAAGCAATTGTTGGTCACCGACTACTATGGGACTGCATCTCCTGACGTTGCTCCACTGCCTTGTGAATTAGACCTTAAGGTCATAGGCTCGGGATGTGGTCCCCTAAGAAAACCACCTGCGTCGATTTTGGCACCCGGGCGGTATCTCGACCTTCACACATCTCACAGCACGCTCTAAGACTGTTAAGTATGGGGAGATAAGATACTAGCTCAAACCACAGTGGGGATGTCGCCAAACAAAATTCTATTCTTTAATTCGTGCGAAGACAGATTTTCGCCTGCAATAATTTCTGTTACGTTTTCCGACGTGCTCAAAGCCTCACCGAAAAGTGCACAGCATTGTTGCTCTCCTTCCCTATAAAGAGACAAATCTCTTAGACCAAGTACGGAGATGAGCAAACAAGTGGGGTACAAGGCTGAGAAACAAATCTTACAAAGACTCCGACACTTAAAAGCATTCTCAATGGGTAATGATCCATTAATGACACACATCATGTGAGCTAGGAAGTCCATTCTGTTCGTTTTCAGGGAATTTGTGGCATCCAACATTCCCGAGCATTTCTCCATTTTGTATGAGAGTCTGTGCTGCACCTTACAAATATATCTTCGAACCACTTTATTTCTGACTTCTGATTCGATTGGGCTGGTATACCCGGATTATAAAAGCGTTGTGTGGAATAGCGTTGTGAATCTCAGAATGCCTGTAGTATCTTCAGAGGTAAGGAACAGAAAAATGGACATCGCTGAGCGATTGCTCAGGTACGTCCTCACCGTGTCTCTAAAAGAATTGTCCTCATTTGGAATGTTCTACCCAACTAAGTGAACACAAGCCCCTCAGTGGAAAGCTGCATGGAGAGACCTGATAAATACGGACTGATACATGGATTACCAACTCCTAATTGGACTGGCCGTAATTGATATATATATGCAGTCCTAACTACCATCATCACTACCATGTATCAACAGCTTATTCCTATCTTGCTTTGTTCACCGTTTTATTCGTACACTTCAATTTACTCACATTGTCTGGGTTACCAATCAGTTAACTTAATTATTTTTTCGTGAGACAACCGTCTTCTAGTTGTATTGGAGTTTCCTCTTTATTGTTTCTCACAATGCAACCAAACCAACTCATCCCTGGTACTGTGATGACTACTGATTTCAAAAAATTACACTCCTGAGTCATATACACTCACTCAGATTAACATATACATGAACCCACAAATAACTACAACAAATGACTAGAACTGTTATGGTCGAGTGGCTAGACTACAGCCCACTGTACATTACGAGAGACTTGGAGCCTCGAGCAAAATCACAAAGAGTGAGTGAAAAGAAATCGATTGGTTTATACAAGTTCATCCCAAAGATATTGGATTTTGGATGAGTGGTACAAAGCATGCAGTGTGACAAGTGCAAAGGCTGGTAACAAGAAGTTTGCACGAATTTAACGCCCACGGTTTTCAAACGGTTTAATTAAAATAGTTGCGTGTGGTTCTTGTGAGCACTGCTGCTGGGACGCAAACAGCTTGCTATTCGAGGCCATTTCAATGTTAATACTGCTAGAAAGTGTATCAATAAACCAGGTCGGGACGCATTTGGCAGTACTCGCTCTGTCAATACACTGACCAATATGAAGCCATCTCATGTGAGCTCGAAAACAACTTACTCACGTCAGTTAAAGGAGAAAAGACCAACTTTGAAGAGGTCTGTCTTAAATAAAAGCTCAAGACAAGAAATTTCCTTTATCCTACGTCTTCTAAACTGTAACCGACAAGAAACGCCTAAGAAATCCAATCGCAATGCTAGGTTTGTTCCTAGCAGAAAAACAACCTGGCTGCCCAAGTCATCGACAACCTTCCGGAATCCCAGAGTGTGGTCGACACGACTCTGGTTGCCACTCTAACGAAAGTCGATGAGTGGGTACAAGTCGAGAGCAAGAAACGATGTAACGCTCTTCGCGAAAATCGAACCCTTCAGAGAGTAGCCAGAAAATTACTGACTGGTCACAGTGACATGTCTTTTGTCTTTCATAAAATGAAGGAATGTGAAAGGTCAGAGCCGAAAACTCCTTGTGAGCATGATATTGGGTTGATTAAACATCTACTAAACCAGCTTATGCCTCGTGATAACTCCGGAGTCACGTTGCTAAAGATGTAAAGAATAGGTAGTCAAACGAGCTCGAAACAAAATCATATCAGGCTGCTTAAAGTAGTAATTAAATCTCCTAATGATTGGGACTCAATATACATAAACCAAAGGGTTCAGGAATTATTGTTCTTAAGGATTTGCCACTTGCAGATCGTGTAAAAAGACGGGAAGCCAAAAAAGGACTAAAAATTAGGTTAGATGCTGGCAGAATGGATCAAAAAGTTGTAAAATTTCGGGTTTTGGGGCTTTGACATGTAGTGATGTCGAAGCCACTATGGGTGCAGCACGAAGTCATTTAAATAGACTTCGGATCTACTACACAAATGTCCGGAGTCTGTTCAACAAGCGGTCGGAACTAGGTGTACAGATTGAATCTACCAAGCCGGATACAACCGCAGTCACAGAAACTTCGCTAACGCAGTCTATAGATATTATGGAACACAAATCCCCTCCACACGAGGCATGTTGACGCTAAGGCTTTTTTGACTTTGTATACAGTATTTGTGAGTCCTAAACTTGAGTAATGGATACAGGCGGCTAGCCCCTGCTTAATAAAAGACAGTGAATATTTGGAAAGGGTTGAGAGAACAGCAGTGAAGCTGATTTTTGGAATAACGAAGCTCCCGTATGATGCTCGACTGGCTAAGCTTAAACCTAATTCTATTGTCATATCGAAGAACTAGAGGTGACTTGATTAGTTTTCAATTTACCTAGTGGTAAACTTGCATATGATATGCCCTTATTTTTCTTGCCTTACGAAACAGAGGATTTACGAGGACACTCCGAAAAAGTTCACAAGATCAGAACAAATAACTTGTCAACTGACTATCGACTTTCCCATCGAATCATCAACGAGTGGGGTTAATTACCTCATCACGTGATTGAAGCTCCATCCTTCGACTCTTTCAAAAGAAAGTTCGTCCAACTAAGAGACCACCATTGACACGACTAATACAGACCATTAAGCCTCTTATCCTTTACAAAGTGAAACTGAAACATCGGACACGGTCTTTTAATGCTTCACTACTTTAATTCACTGGTACAGTTTACACTGTCTGGTTTTTGAGAGGGTTGAGGATGTATGCAAGTTCTATATCTGGTGAGGATGATAAGTACGACTATTTGTTTAAAGGTAATAAAAGATCTAGAAATTTATTTCAATTGAAAAGTTGTATTGACCGGGGATTCAGGTGTCGGGAAAAGTAACCTACTCTCACGTTTCACAAGAAACGAGTTTAATTTGGAAAGTAAAAGTACGATCGGTGTTGAGTTCGCTACAAAGTGAGTCTGTGGGAAATATTTATTGTGTCATTTAGGAGCGTGGATATTGATGGAAGGATTATAAAGGCACAAATCTGGGATACTGCTGGTCAGGAACGTTATCGAGCTATAACAGCCGCGTGAGTTTACAATCTTTATGTAGAGATTTCAGTGCTAGATCTAAGAAACTGGCAAATATGGCCTTTTCATTTTCGAGTTACTGTTGTGATAGTACTTGCTTTTCTTAATGACTGCACACAATACGTTGTAAAGATGATTGCGTCTGACAAAAACGCAGTTGTGCACCGATTGCTAAATGTAGCATTCTATCAAAGCGTCTCGACGTTATTCATTGTTTGGTAGTCTTAAATTGTTCTACCCGATTTGGTAAATTGGACAAGAGCAGTTATAGATAGTTTCAAAATAGTTGTCGTAAGTGAATAATTCGAAATGATTTAATTTGGCTTAGTAAGGAAACTCGTTTTTGTAAATTTCCAGTCGTGATTTTTGCAAGGACCAGTGATACTAGTGGATAGAACAAACTATAGTGAGTGGTTCAGCATTGAAACATGCGATTTAGGTGATGGGAGCTGAATATTTCAACGAATAATTTACTCTGCAGATATTAGTCTTACTAATAGATGTTCATTTAGATATTCTAACATGTAAAGACCTCGGTCTGATAGAATGTCAAACCGGTTTTTATTAGGTTCTCGAGTTGTCAACTCCCATTGCCCGCATAGTTCCTTAGTTTTATGATAGTTTTTTTTACCGGAACATGATGCCGGTAAAAACGAGTTGTCATTATTAGGATGAAAATCGTGGTCTTCATTTCTTTCCAGCATTCTAGGCACATCACTCCGTCTGGCTAAGTAATTTCATGCATACCATTGACCAAGCTATTTTACATATTGTAGTATGCAGGAGGTTATTCGGCATGGTGTGTTCGAGACTGTTGACTCCGTTTTGGCTCACTCTCGTTGTTTAACTTAGAAGTCATAATTTCACTAAGCATCATCAGATGTAAACAATGACATATTTCAACGTTTTCTCTTGAAGCTATTACCGTGGTGCTGTCGGTGCGCTGTTGGTTTACGATATCACAAAAAGAGAGACTTTCAACAATCTGGAACACTGGTTACTGGAGTTACGAGGCCATGCAGAACCAGATATCGTTATTATGTTGGTTGGTAATAAGTGTGACCTTAGGCATCTGCGAACTATATTGACGGAAGATGCGAAGCTTTGGGCTGAAAGGCATGGACTATTCTTTATGGAAACGTCGGCTCTGGAATCCACCGGCGTTGAGAATGCTTTTTACTCTATTCTTAAAAGTTAGTTTTATATTTCAAATCATATGATGACTTAAGTTTTGATTGAGAAGATGAAGTTAACTGGGTAAAATAGATTTTGTTGTTTTGGTGCTCTTTGGTTTATCATTTGCATAGATTACATTGGCTCACCACTGAACTGTAAATCTTTAAGGCTTTAATATTTAAGGAAGCTCGTTGGTTCACATCAACAGACTACGTTTGAGGACAAATATTTTTCTAGGATGATGATGCTTCATCTTTGTTACTCCATCAAAATATCAGGCTAACTTACTTTATTGTTATTGGTTTTTGTGACACTATATTACGTCATGGTGAATGCCATTGTCATTATCCATCCCACCTCTTGTATATGTCCTTACTTTGTCAATATGATGATGTAACGACTTGTTGTTTACGGTTTATGGACATATTTAGACACAAAAACGTTGTCAAATCTGTGCCTTCAGTTTCATGTACGAGATATTCACCGTACAAAATGTGTGGTGAAGTAAATATTGAATGGTAAGAATTAGTAAATGAAAAGCCATCACACGGTATTGCGATGTACGATTTAATTCGAAGTATGTATCTGAATAAATGTAATTGTTTTAAATTAATTACGTGAACATTCGGTTAGTGTTGGTGAACACATCGGCCTAAAAGTTGTGTTTACTTAGACAGAGTTGAATATGAATACTTTTCCATCCATGTATTTGTCGATAAAGTACTACCTAGGCACATTAGTCTAGCCCAACTTCTCTACAGTGATTTAGTGATAAGTATAGTAATGCTAGCATTTTGTTAATATGAATGAGTTGTTCTTACTGTCTCCCAGAGCGGATTGTTTCTATGAATATGAAAAGAACAGAAGGATGAGAGTTTTGAATGTAGAAGAGATTCCATGATGACCAAGGAGTGCTGATATGCCGATGGAGGTTTATCAGGATTTGGTTGTTTCCAGTTCTCCATGGCATGAAGGTTAGTATTGTGAAGCATCAGTAATTGAATGTGGGTTATACTGTTTCACCACTTCAATGCTAATGTAGCACCCTCCAAGCAGGTAATAAACATCTTCATTAGAAGTTGAAACCCTAGCCGTTGCTAGTTGATACTTGTCGCTAATGCGTGCCTGCACCTTTGGGAGAGAACTGATGCTTTCCAGTGGATCGTAACTGATTTGTGTTGCCCAACGACACAATATAAGAGGTTATCACCGAGCTATTCGAACCATAAAGGAATTCTCGTAGGAATCAGTTGTTTACAAATGATTGATCAGTGAAGTAGTGGCAGTGACCAATGCTGTGTTTGTCTGGTACTTTTGTGCTACTGTTTGAATTCTATCAATCAAGTGTGCAATAGTCGTTCATTGAATTTTGTGTAAAACTGCCAAACATTTGATTTGTGGACTTACTGTTATTTTTATCATTTACATTGTGTCCAGCCATTTTCGAAGCTGTCCGTTCACATCCTCCAGTGAGTAATGTCGACATGAAAATGTCTCCATATCATAATCAACCGATCGTTTCACCGAACACAGACAGTTCAAACAGTGGACGACGGTGTTGTAGTTAGAAACAAGGGAATAATCAAATAACAATTTGTTTCCATTTTGTATGAAGAGAATTGATTAATTATTTTTCTGTAAACTATTATTGTTAATAAATTGATTGATTGATTGACTGATATCAGTAAATCGACAACAAATCGATGGACAGAATGTTTATGATAAATGTAAATTAGTGGTGGTTGCTGTTGTCTTTCTTGTTTTTGACGTTAACGATTACTGATTCGGTCGCCACTGTCTCTACTTATTCATTATTTATTTTGTGTGGATGAAATCATTTGCAGTGACTTTTGTTTTGTGCACATTTCCACCTTTCACGTGTTCGCTTGTGTGTGCGTGTGCGTGTGCGTGTTTGTGAATTCAAAGGAGAGAATGAAGAAGTGAAGGAGAGTGAACACTGAATCTTCGTTGTGTGCATCATATGAGAGAAGTGATTTGATACAGTCACGAATGATGACAATTGAGTAAGTTGTTAATGAGCTTAGTGGGAGACTACACTACAATGACATTGCAATCATCATCATCATCACTACAATTTATTGTTTGTGCATGTGTACAGCTGTGTTTTTCCCAGTTCATTACTTGATTGATAACTTTCTAGTGAACTGTATAGTATCTCTTAACAAGAATAAATCTAACTGATGATTACATGCACATGGATACTGACTTATACAAGTACACACATTTTCACGGCACTATTCTTTTGTTCATTGTCTATCACTATTGTATTTTTACGAAATGAATACTTGTTTGTTTTGTTGATCAATGTGTGCAGAACACATTGTTTTGTATGACGCTGTAAACTGTGTTTCTCCTTGCTGTGAATTTCATTTTATACTAACTGTATTGTTATTGAACTATGCCAGATGATAACTGAGGTGACACACTATATTTTTAGTGAAAATACTAGTAATAGATGAGAAGGAACTGAATCTTCAGTAGAAATTCAATTTTCCCAGTTTTATCTCTTTTAAACAAAAACAAACAAACAAATTTGTATTATATGTATTATGATGTGAACTGTGTTTGCTAATGAACTAATTTTTCTCTTCTTATCAACATAAATTGATTTTTCTACCTAGAGCCGGTGTGTTTTAGAGTTTTTGCTGTTGTCATGTGCTGGGATAGAAGTTTTCGGCAATACGATGTAAGTAAGCAGACTAAGGCTGAACTGCACAATTCATCCTAATGTGAAATTCAGTTTAGGTGTTTCGTCGTGATTTTGCTGCCTATTAATTCATTAGATAACTGTGCAGTGTTAAACACGGGAAGTGAATGTGCATAACGTTCTTTTGATAGTGTTAGTGAGTCATGCGCAGAGCAGGACGTAACACGGTTTTGTATTGGTGGAAGTTGCCACATCTCATGAGTATAGCGAGAAATCAGATTGACAGAAATGGTGTTAGTATGAATGGTAGTTGTGAAAGTGAAGTATGGAGAATGAGTGGCGAAAAATGCACCGATCAGTTGGATAAGATAGTATAAAATAATTTTGAACTTGAAGACCTCAGGGAAGACAGAGTGGACACGTCAGCATGATTGCTGCCAATTCTGAGTCATATCACCCGAAGTGTGCGACCACTGGTCGTGGTTATCTCGATGACTGGGTGCCGTTAGTCTGCGTCTACCCATACAGCTGTTTTCAACATTATGATTTGTTTGCCCCTATCTTTCATGATCATGTGTCGAACTGTCAGTTATCAGGGAATCACAGGCATCAAAATCTAGAGGATTATTGACATAGTTATGACACATGGGTTCATTTGTAACGAAGAAATAATTAACTCACACTGAGGCACGTCGAAATCGCCAACTAGTCTTCTTGATTTCGAGATTCTGCAGTATATTTGTGGATTTGTTATAAAAGTGGATTTTTCAACAACTGTTTGGAGGGTGTTTAGACTTTTGCAAGGTGGTTCTTAAATATTTCTGTTAAAATAATTATTGAAGGTAATCATCTGCCTAAAGAATAAAAATAAATCTTACTGTTGATGTGTGTGGTTGACGACTTGAAGTTTCCATTGTGGTATGAAACAGCAATTGACTTGCATTTGTTGGACTTCCGTCATGTAGATAGTGAGAATATTCAGTGTTTTTGCGTTTTGCATTTCAGTGCGAAATCATCTTTCTAGTGCCTACCTTGAATAGTCTACTTATGAGTATTTGTGTTACTAAGCTACTGGAGAGTCGTAGTTGCAACATTTCTGAATCATGTAAGAAACATCTAATGAGTGCTGTGGTTCCATTGACTCCAAAAGGGTGAAATTCTATTCCCTGACACAGCTGAACTTGAATCACTCACTTTATAGATTGATGTAGTCTAGTTATGTGATGATTGTCAGTTATTGATAGTAAAATTGGAAGCTGTGTGAATTTCTTGAAACAGGAACCCACTGAGATTTGAAAACTTACTGTCCGTTCAAGAAAACATTTTTAGTTTCACAGATTGATCCACTATTATTTACAGATGTCTTTTCCTTCTAGAAACCTGGGCAGGTTCTCACAGATATACGTTGATTTCCTCCTATGCATTTGTCACATGTCATTTATAATTAGTTGATTATCACACACAAGTGAGACACGTCGTAGAAAACTATCGCCTTGTATTTTATCAAAGTTTCATGTGATCCCTTAAAATTCATTGTGACGTATACGATCCTGAAGTAACTTGGTGTTGTTCTTTTGTGATTGACCGGAAACATTTTGTGCAACTAATTCCCCGATAATTCACTTCTATCAATATCAGTGTATTTGTGCAAGGTAGGGCAGTTTAACAGGAGTCTCAACGGTGTTGATTTGCCGACTATAATTGGTATTTAAGTGAGTGTTGTAATTCGTTCATGGTCATCTATATTGTCTCTTCCCTATGTGTGCTATTGAAAGCCAATGTTACTGGTCAATGAGGATGGACAAACAAGAACTCAGCTAACGGACTATCAATTATGGGACATTCATGCAAAGTAAGTTGTCTTCGTATTTTTCGGCACAAAGATCCGATGAACTTTGGTCAATCGAGAATCGATCAACAATATTGTGGTTAATCAATAGTAGATAGACTTTGGATTGATTGAATGACAGGTCATTGTAAAACATTGAGTATTTGAATAATAGGAAAAGAAGTGTACGAACTTGTGGTAGGTCGGATTTAAACGCCACGTTCTCGGTGCATCTTAGATACAGTTTTCTTTTTTGATATATTAATACACTTTATTATCTACGAGACATCTATTCATCCTTGACATTCGCTACTGACCAAATATGTATTTTTCCGCCGTTTGACAACCGATTGCCTCCATTATGATCTATTTGTTTGTAGTAATCACTCATGAACCAATTTCGAAGTGGTTTAATTTTTCTCACAGTTTTATAGAATTAAATTCTATCGCTATTATCTTTATAAATGAGAAGTTCCATTCTTCGAATGTATATTAATTTCAGAATGTGTTCTATGAGTAGGTCAAGTCCGGACATCTGACATTCTGTCAGTGATAGTCGAATACAGTCAGGCTTTGATAAGTGATAGAGTTGTATTTACTTGTATGCATCAATGCTGCAATAGAAAGTAACACAATGTTCTCACCTAGTTTTTGTGTTCTATTACTCTGAATAGTTAGGTTGTTTAAGTATAGAAGTGTATGTTAATAACTGGATTGGACAGCAACACACAACGTAAATTCAATCCAGTCCAGAAGTCATCACCACCACTGAACTATTCAAGTAAAGTATCCTGTGCTTTCCACATGTAACCCTTACTATTACTACTACTACTATGCCGTACAGTTTCCAACCAACCATAATATTCTATCTACTTAACATGGTTTGTTGATAATTTGCTCAGGACAGGGTTGGTTGGAGAATGCTGGTGAGCGGCCTATGCTCCTTCACGAGGAGTAACAGGCGAAAGTAAATGATTGATAACTAACATTTGCTCACCATTATGCACATAATTGTAAGCACGACTATACACTGTAAGTAATATGGTTGATCACTTCATAAAATTCAATAGTCATTCACAAAATTCTCTTGAAAACAAATTCGTCATTGTGTAGTTCATGTCAATATTATTAGAAAGAAGCACATACAATCACAATAGATGGTACATGCATACACACAAATAGTTTAGTATTATCTTTGTTGAGCACATCAACTAATTGACATGATCGATCGATCGATCAACTAATCATTGGTACTATGATACATATGAAAATCGGTTGAATTTATCGATCTTCCCCTTGAGTGATACCGACAACAACAACAACAACTACTACTACTACCGTCAAGGTCATTACACCTGCCTTGTTTAACCAGAGTGATGATCTTTTATGTCAATCACAGTACAGTATGATAATGACACCATGCAGAAATGTAGTCCATGTTCAATGTAGATCATCATTCCAGGTATTTGTTGAATAAGAACAGAACATTCATGTAACCAGTAATGATGAAGTGAACTAATTCAGGACAATGAATTGGAGAGTATTTTATGAATTATTGATTGGTTGACATGATATTATGTAATAGTAATTAAGTGATATATATATTTTGAAACTTCAATGCTGAAATTCACCTAAACCATAGTGTAATAGTAACTATCTAGTGGTGTAGTATGCTACTTATATCTGTCGACATAAGTAGTATGTAGTGCCAGTAGTTCTTTAATGATCTAATGATACAAATAATGTTAATACAGAAATATATTAATCAGAATATTTACGAGTAAGAGAATGCGACCACCACGGCTTAGGCCAGTCCGTGACGCGTCTGGTCTGAGTTGGCTAACAGTTGCAAGGGATGTGTAGCACGGTATACTCAGTCGTTATCTGGTTTCGAAGCGTGTCCGAGCTCCTTCAGTTAGGTGCGTACGATGAAAGTAATGCGGCTATCATCAAATGTTGGAGACATACAGAGTTATTTATTTTGAGGATTTATTTACCGCTACACTGACGAAGATGCTACTTTGGGAGTGGAAAACGAATCCAAACATAACGGCATAATTCTCGGGATTCAT